CAGGGTGGCGGTCGTTTTTTTTTTTTTTTTTTTTTTTGTGATCGTTTGGAGGAAAATGCGTTTTTGACAATCCACTTAACGTTAATATTGTTGAAAACTAGGCAGAGAAGCAGAAACCACGGAGACACCATTCACAAGGAAATTGAAAAATAGAGTTCAACTTTCAAATTTTTGCACTTTAATGTTCAAGTGGGCGGACTACTATTCATAGCGTCATACATGCACAAGGCTGTATGGTTGAAAAAAAACCTTTTGAACATCTAAGAGTAAAAATTTTGTCCTATGAAAAAATCGTTCTGTATTAAGTCTCTAAGAGCAGAGATCGAAGATGGCGCTACACCACATGTGCTAGTCGAAGGTTTATATTTGTTTACCTGTTGATAAGGCCATGTCTTTGTTTACATGTTTGCAAATCCATGACAAACTCCATAGTCATGAATATCTGTATGTCAAAACCACACGGCTGAGAAGTAACACTACCACATCTCTAATAAAGGCTATACATCAGAGAAACTTAGTTAGGGTGGTAGTAGTGAGAAGAGTTAATAGTGTTGAAGGTGTGAGTTCTGTATGGTTCTGTGTACCAGAAATGGTTGGCAACCCCCAGACCAGGGCAGAAGAGGCAATGAGGCCCGCACACTGCCGTCTGAACCCCACCCCATCATTATTACGAAAGAAAGAGGTTAATTTAAACCCCAGGATAGTAAGATGAGGGTTTTTTTAAAATAAATGCGATACTATATTAATATGTGCAGGTTGCAAAGAGGCAAAATAGCTCTTATGGAACACCCCTGCCAATTCTAAATAAACTCTCATTACTTTTCTCTCAGAGTAAAAGTACCGACCTGGTATACCCCACGCAACTCCCAGAGGAGAAACTGGTGATGATATGATAGCTTACTCTTCACCGACGCGTCTCCTACACTGTGGTAAAACCCATTGGCTACTACCAATCAGAAGGCCCGGAGGAGGCAGGAGGGAGTGAGGGCGGAAGTGTCAACAAAGATGGTGGACTGTGGAGTGATGTTTCCGCAAGGTGTACTGCTGAGTAACACCTGGGGGCATACAAACAGGACCGAGCGGTCTGATGATAGTGTCTTTAACGCGCAAATGAAATCCACAAAAGGACTGCTATTTTTACTGACAAAATTTTTATATTGCACGTATTGAAAGGAATAAAAAGTGCCTGGGTTTCACCCTTTCTTTGGTAGGTAGAAGAGCAAAACTAAGTGGAAAACGGTGGTTTGTTCTTGGCTGTGCACCGTCAACAAGATTAGCTACATACCTATATTTGGAAGGGTTTAGAGTCCACGGGATTTAGCTGGTATGTATGCTCCTACTGTTTTGTTTAAAGAACTCCAGCTACATAACCCCTTCCCCTTCCCCTGTCTCATCCAGGCTCTGCACAGCAATAGACAACGCTGAAGGATGTGAGACACGGTTGTACCATATTCTTCGCGGACACATCCTGCCACAACGTGCCACTACCAACAGGGGCGAGGCCCTCGGCGAGGCCGCCTACCGCAACCTGTGTCACAGAGTGTCTCCGTAAAAGTCTGCTCGTCTGCGCTCTCCATCTTTCACGTAACTACTGATGTGATCATGTTGGAAAATGTCTCATCTTTGGTTCAAACAGCTTACATGTGAGCGGGTAGCAGAAGAGTTAAAATGTTCAATTAGAAGAAGGTATTAAAAATGGTATAGTTCTCTCGTATCTCCCTCCCCTCAGTCTGCTCTGCTCATGGCGACGGTGCTAAAGATTCTGCTACACCCTGGAAGTTGCATCAATGGCCGCTCGTCCTGCAACTGCTCCTCGCCGATTTGCCGGACTGACTGCATCAATAGTATGAGTCACATGACTGCACAGGTGACCTACGCATGCGATCGAAAATCCCTCCCAGTCAGCGAAAGGGTCACCGATCTCCGCTCGACGGGTTCGACTCGCTGGACCCCAGCCACAGTTGGAGTCGAGGCATGCCTGTCCCCAGAGCCTTCGCGTCCTTCTCACCACATGCTGCCACTCGACGCGAGCCGATGGTCAGCAACTTCCTTGCGCGCGCCGCTCCACCTCCGCCTACGTTAGCAGATGCAGACGTGGGGTGTGGCCATCGGCGCACATTCACACGTCTCTTTAGTGAGCAGCACGTGAGTCTGCATAATTTGGTCTGTCTTACTACACTTGCTGGCTTCCACCTCGAGACCCAGACAGCAGTGCGGGACGCGTACCCTCGCACCCAGGCTGATCTGCGGCTATAGACTCTCAACATGTCTGCGTGCGACCGCGTCGTAGAGTGACTCGCGCCACCTGGCAACCACACCTTTCTCACATGAGCCACGTCAGACCTGCACGTTTGTACTTCACTAGTTTTAATCTTCCCATAATTGGCGCCAAGTGCAAATTTTCTATATAAAGGTGCTTGCAAATAATTATGTTCAACGATTAATTTCACATACTCTCGAGTGTTTTAGCACAAAAGATAGTTGATGATCATAACGTTACATTCTCTCCCCAATAGCAGTTTGATGGCAGAGACCACAGTCCTCAACTGTGGCTATCTTGACTCAGAAATCTAGAACACTTCAACCCGTACTAGCACATACTACTCACGTAACCCCCACAGTGTGGGTCCCTTGAACTTGGCCTGGACTTACCCCCCATTCCACTGTTCCCTCCCTGACCACCACTCCTGTCCCACCCTGGCATTGTTTTGGCAAGTCTCCTGACATAGGGCTTGGATCACCGACCGGAGCGATAGTTGCTGATTGAGATTGGGTATTGTGTGGATATGAACCCGCTGGGTGCGTCGATCTACCTGTGTACGTGTATCGAAGTGGATGAAGTTGGGGTAGATACGCTGGGTGTCAACACTCCCCCTGGTACTTTTTAATTTTGGTAATGTGAGACATGAGACTTAAGGGTACCGCGGTCGGCTAATTAGTGAACAGCGGGAGCATTCTCTGTTGTGATGATGGCTCTTGTATTTTGGCCTGAATGTCTCACGCTCTCGCCAGGCTGTGCTCACGACTCCTCTTACCAGTCTGCCTCGTCGACAACAAACCCACCATCTCAGGGTGACTCCTCATCCCCCAGACGGGTTTCCTCTGGGTAAATTCCACCCCGACCCCCTTAATTTCATTTGAGTCGTGGCCACTTCTAACACGACCCCCCATCCTTTACAGAACCTGCTTGCCTACCGGTTGCTACGATTCACGGCCCTGCCATAGAGACACTATGATCACCGAAAAACCCTTCCACATGGGCCCTACTCGAGCCGGTCCACAACAACCAATGCTGCTCGGAGTTTACGGCAACATCTTCTAATACCATTCACCATGGTCTAGAGGTGGCGGTGCCATTCTAACCTCTGAAACCCTCCGGTTTTCCCCCACTCGTTCGGAGCTTCATCATGGAGTGTAGGTATGGAGACTGGGGAGGGCTGAGTTGATTGATACTCGAGTCAGACTCTGGTTCCAAGGCTAGCGTGGACTATGTCGAGATACACGGAACAACAAGCGCCCTGCCACTGACTCTTCCGTGGGTCTATTCCCAGCGTGTACTCCCCAACAGAAGGCCGCTGTCCTGGTAGGACCTCTGGCTGAATGGAGACGAGAGTCACAAGACATCAGCTCTTGCACGGTACAGAGGTCCCTCCTCGGGAGCCTGAGGATCGTGTTCCCATCAGCGACCCCCACAGCGGGGTCCTCTCTCGTCCAGTTCAATGATGTGGACTGGACCGGGGACCTCATACTGGCGTCGCGGAACAGATACCAGGTCCAGGAGATTGGCAGCTGTCAAGCTGCTCCACTCATCTCTGTGCTGCAGTTCCCTGGAGACTGTCGTCTCCTGACTACTCCTTCTCCCCTCCCCCTCACGGCAGAAAATCACACTTTTTCCCCCCTCCTCACAGCCGTCACACTCCACATACCGAGTATTACATCTCACCGTCGTGCAACAAACAAACCGACCCACCTCACCAAAAAATCGTCACTCACTCACAGATCACCACTGACAGCCCTCCACCCCTCCCTGGTTCGTCATGGATGCATTGCCCAGGGTCCCATGACCTTGATTATTACCAATCTACCCTCGCTGTTGTCCTGGTGGGCCATTTCTTTGAACCGGGAGATTCCATTCTCACATTTCCTGTCCACTTTGGATCGGAAATGTGTTAACCGAGTCCTCATTTCACCTACCCACTTCCGAGGAAGGGTTGTCTGGAAACGACAGAGCAGGCGACTTGGACGCTCGGGGTACTGGCCGTACTACCTTACCCCCGATAGGCAGCAGTAAACCACGCCCTCCAGAGCCCGTCCCACCCTGTCTGCTCTGCTGGGGACTAACAATCGACGGAGTCCTCCTCCCTGTTGTCCAGCAACGCAATCATTATCCCCGCGGCCGTGGAGACACCAGAACCTGATTACATTTCAACTGACAGTCATCTCACTTAGTTGGAGTGCATCTGATGGTGTGGTATCCGTGGTTATCCATGATTTGTGCTGTCATCAATGAAGTGGCGTGGTCGAAGGTGCAAAGTCCAACCTTTACGTCTGCTGCAGACTCCCATTTTTCTCTCTATCTGTTCGCATGACGTCTGACTCTCTTGATGCATGGTGTAACACCTTCTATTTTTCTACTATCATCTCTCGTCATAGTGCATCTCAGTATTTCTTCGCAGTGACCATGGGTTGTCTCGCACTGCACTAGATGCGAGCTGACCGTTGGACCCGTACGAGTCGACAGTACACCTCCTGTTGTCAGTGGCAATGTTACCGTGGAGACCAGCACGATCATGTGACTGTCACATGGCAGCAGAATGATAGTTTTACAGACAGTGAGAGTGGTGTACAAACCTTGGACTTCTCTCTCGGTGAGCAGAACATATGCAGTGGTAAAAAGCATCCACGTACTCTGTCCAATGTCTGCCAATGTGTGTATTTTTCAACCTCAAGATTTTTGTAAACGTTCTTTCTTGAACTCTGTGATTTGCATTCTCTCCCATCCACAGGTGACTCTGCCTATGGATCTCAGGTCCTGGACTTCTCTCCCATCTCCTCCACTCCTCTGTGTGTATCGGACCACTGTCTCTCTCTCTCCACCTCCTCCCTCCCTCTCCTCTCAGGACACACCTACCACCTCACACTACGAGCACGCAACCATGCCGGGCTCGATTCCTACCTAGCAACCGAGGAATTCATTTTCATCTACGGACCCCCCACAGGGGGCAGGGTTGTTGATTTGGACCCCCACGTTCAGGGTCCCTCAGAGGAGAGCTGCGTCAGTCTCCATGACAGTGACACCGATCTAATTCTCGATTCTGATTTGTTGACTGTACGGTGGGAGGGGTTTGACCACGCCCACTTGAATGTGACATTCTCCGTTGGTCTTGGTTCCATTCCAGGCACAGACGACGTAATTCCATTCTCGTGGGTTGGAACGGAGACGCGACACTCATTTACCAACCTGACCCTGCAATCGGGAGAGCATTATTACATAACTGTCGTCGCTAGCAATGATTACGGCACAAACACTACCTCGTCAGATGGATTCACATACCTATCTGGTCTCCATAGTGATGTATCCACGACAACCGTTGTTGACGGCAACGAGGAGGGGAGAGACATAGACTACCAATATTCCCAAACGTCACTAGGGGCGCAGTGGGTGTGTCCCCCCTCCCTCCTCCCCTACCTGTCCCACTATCTCTGGGCCGTGCTGCACAGAGACTCAGAGTCTCGCAACCTGACTCTGGTACGGGGGTATGAGAACGTGGGATCCGAGACCTGGGCCACCGGAGCTGGAATGGAACTGAGACACGGGGAGGCCTATGTGAGTGGTGTTCAGATATGTCTGTCCACCATTGTTCCAACTTGCCTGGCTCCAGTCTATTCCGATGGGGTCAGGGTCCTAGACCGGCCAGTAGCGTCTCATATTCATGTCACGTACACCCCGCTGGACTGGGATCCTGTGTTCTCAACCAGCTCCTCTGGGAGACTGGACTTAGTCTGGTCCCCGTTCCAGGACCCCAGGATGGCTTACTATGAGTGGGCAATTGGAACGGGGGAACCTGGATATGAACTCCTGACTCAGTGGAGCCAGGTGGAACGGTACGAGACCAGTCTTTCAGTCAGTCTCAATGTCACAGTTTCCCTGCACATGAGAAACACTGTCACTCTGCGAGGATTCAACGCAGCCGGTCTGCATTCCATGACAGCAACGGAGCTGCTCTGGAATGTGGACGGAGAGACCACACCCCAAGATCTGATACCTCGGTCGAAGTTGATTGTGTACGACATTCCAGACTCCGGGGTAAGAGTACCCCACACCACAGACTGGAGACAACTGGAGTACTCCGAATGGGACCCAATTGGAATGGAACTGGACTACACAAACTCCTCCCACTCATTATCAGCAGCGTGGCCAGACCTTCGTTACACCTCCTACAACTACTCCGTATCGACCACGCCCTGCATTCACAACATGCACTCCCCCAAGCTCTGGAGTTGCGTGTGGTACAACCATCGCCAACTCTGTCACTATTCCAGACCTGGTTCTGGAGGACGGAGTCCGGTACTACGTCTGTGTGCAGACTCGGCAACCGTTTGCCATCCACCCCTCCCCCTCCTCCCCCTCCACCCTCACGGCTTGCTCCAACGGAGTGACTGTGGATCTGTCTCCTCCATCTGGTTCCTGCGTCCAGATCCAACCCCTAGCCCCCGTCTGGGAATCAGACGTTGCGAGTGGGGACGTAGCAAGTGGGAGTGGTTTTGGAGACTTGGTTCCGTTCCGTTCCCAGTGTGTCTGGAATGGGTCTCAGTTTCAGAGCTCTAGTTCAGACCTGCACATTGTGTGGTCTCCGTTCCATGATGTGGAATGGAATGGGAATGCAGTCCATGCATCAGGCATTGCCTACTATGAGTATGCAGTCGGTGAGTTACTTCGATCATTGGACGATCAGTAAATCATCGCAATGCATACCTTCGCAGGTAGTCAACCAGGAGAGGATGATGTCATTCCTTTCACTGAAGTGGGTGTGGTCAATGACGTAATTATCACAGAACTCCGCCTCCAATCTGGGCACACGTACTACGCAACAATTAGAGGTATACATACCTACACATTGTCCTGTAGTCTTGAATGGAGTATTACTCCGTATACTATAGCTACTGATTTCACCGGGCAGTGGAGTGATGTCACGTCTCCCGGGGTAACGGTTGACTCCACCCCACCAACTGGCCCCTCCCATTTCAACCTCGTTGACACTGACTCCACCTACTCCACCCTCCCTCTGGTTGTGGACGAAGAGAGTGGGGTTATTGGAACCAGAGTAGCTCTTGGGTCTGGGCCCGGTTCCAGTGACCTCCTGGAATGGACTCCAGCCATGTACGGGAATGGAATCCAGACTTACATCGAGGAGGCAGGGATTACAGATGGGCAGCTCCTGTTTGCCTCTCTTCAGGTATAATACACACTACCTGATATTACATGTATATACGCAAAGCAAAATCTTAAAGGCTCAGATCAGTTTGGGATGCCATAAGCTCACAACCTGTCGCTGCACATGTGCATCATTTCCCTGTCTGTATACTATTCTCAGGATCAGTCTCTGTTCCGTGCAGGTATGGAATGGAGCTGGGCTGAGTGCTACGTTCTCCTCACTAGGCCACACCCATGACTCCACCCCACCCCACCCCGGGACTGTGTACGATGTTCTGCCGTTGTCAGGCAACGTGTCACATGATGAAGACTACACCCACTCCCTCTCGGAGATCTGGGGTAAGTGGTCGGAGTGGAGTGACCCCCATACTCCGATAGTGGAGTATTTCTGGGCCATCGGGACCACAGAGTCTGCTAACGATGTACAGGACTTCCTGTCAGTGGGCGTGGCCTCAGGTAATTACACATTTCTTTCAATGATACAAGTATATTCTTGTGATTACTTCATGCAGTTGCCAGGAGAAAGGGACTGTCCCTTACACCTGGGAGAAAGTATTACATCACCGTGCGAGGCTGCAATCTGATTGGTCTTTGCAGCAAGGCATCGTCCAATGGGATCGTAGTCGACGTGACTCCGCCCATTCCCGGCTGGGTCAGAGACGGACTCAGTGGGGGAGGATCTCCTGTATCAGTCGTCAAGGTAACTGATCAACTTGTAAGAGGGTCAAAAATTTGGTTTCGCCGCAGCTTCATTCAGTATGTGAGTTTGCAATCATTAGCATAATTATGTATGGAAAAAACACCAATGTTTCTTGCGCTGTGGTAATGAAACAATTTGTATTATCAGGTCATTCATATCGGCCCACTGGTCCGGGTTCCATGACTCTGAGTCTTCACTCCAGTCCTACCTGGTGTGGGCGGGGACTTCCCCTGGGGACGATTCTCTTCTCTCACCATCTCCTCTCCCTCCCTCCGCGTCTTCCCTCCTCCACCCCCTCCCTTCTCCCCTCCCCAACAACATCACCGTCTACGTAACACTTGTTGCCATTAGCAACGCCGGAGAACAGACGTCTGTGACATCAGATGGAGTATTTATAGACGACACACTCCCCATTGTAGCAAACATCACCGTGGATACGAGTTGGGTGGGGTCGGTTTCTACGACAACGCAATTTTCAAACACTGCTCTACGTGCAACATGGAACTCGGACGGCGGAGTGTCCCCAGTCCGTTCCAACACCTGGTCCATTCTCTCATACCCGAGAACTTTCATTCCCAGAGACTCGGAGAACGTCAACAATCGTAACAGTGGTACTGCGTCAGGATTTGCTCTAGAAGATGGCTGCCAATACTCTGTGTCAGTGACATCATGTAGCGGAGCTGGACTGTGCACCATGGCAGAGACCCATACCTCTGTTCTGGTGGACGGATCTCCGCCTGTTGATGGGTTCTTTGCCGTGGCGACTGACTCCACGTTCCCTCGGAGTGCGGCAGTGGCTGACGGGATGATGTGGAGGAACAGGGCTCGGGCCGGAGACTCTCGCATCACTCTCTCATTCTACGGATTCTCAGACGCCCACTCCGGAGTCTCAGAGTACTGGGTTGAGATTGGGACCAGTTTCGGAGGATCTGACCTCACCCAGGGGGCGGTCCAGATCACGTCTCCCACACGGGACCCAGTCACCGGTTCAAACACAGCTACAGTGCCGACTGTTGGTCACGTGACTATAAATGAAACTCTCTACCTCTCGCTCTGGGCCGTGAATGGTGTGGGGTTGCCCAGTCGTAGAGTCGTCGGCAGTTTCATCGTCGAAGAAGAGGAGGAGGGGGAAGAAGACAGGGGGAAAGCTTCGCCACATTCGCTCCCCTCACTGTCCACTGGAGACCGCTCTCGGTCACTGCACCTGCGCCGCTAGAGGCGACCTTTGTCCTTTGCCCCTAACAAACAATATGGTATTGTGGGAAGAAGTTTCTGCGGTGGATGTCCCTGAAGAGCAACGAGTGGGTGTGGTCAACATGTCGCCTCAGCAGATGGCAGGCGATGTTCTCTTCACCTCAATGACTGACAAACTGCTGGGTAGTTGGGTCGTCCCTGTCTCCAGTCCATACCAGAGACTGGAATGGACTGTGGGCTTGAAAGGGGGCGTGGAGGGCAGCGGATTGTTTGATGCAAGTGTCGACCAAGTTTGGAGAGAAGTTGGGAACAGTTTGTCCGCTATTTTCTCAGTTAACCCTCTCCATCCTCTCCTGCATGGAGAGACGTATGTGGTCTATGTGAGAGGGTGGTTCAACTATACTCACTTTGTCGTTTTCGAATCCGGTGGTATCACAGTGGATGTGAGTGGTCCTCAAACGGAACCTGGTGGTCGCGTAAGGGAGGGGGGGTCGGGGACCGAAATAGACCACACTGCAGACCAGACCGGTATCGATGTGGAATGGAACGGAGTCTTCATCCAAGAGCTGTCTGCAGTCCATTCCAGCCTCCAGATTGGAATAGGGGACCTGCCGGGATTAGACAATGTTCTGTCATTCTCCCCAGTCCCCAACCCAGACATCTTGACCCTCTCCTCCCTCTCCTCCCTCTCCTCCGTCTTCTCCCACAACAGACGGTACTTCACAACTCTCAGGATCACCAGCCCACTCTCCGTCTCTGAGGATAGTATATCAGACGGTTTCCTTGTCGATACAACTCCACCTCAAGTGGGCGTGGTCTTTGACGGACTCGGCTACCGAGACGAGATTGCGCAATCAAACAATGATTCTCTGTCAGGGGAGGTGGACCGGTTTCCATGACGCAGAGTCAGGAATCCATCATTACGAGGTGGCAATGTCAGACTCTCCTGAACCAACTGAAGATCTGGAGTATGACGACGTGGGAATCGGACTCCAGTGGACGATGTCTGGTCTGGAATTGACCCACGGAGTCAGGTACTATTTCCATGTGGCGGCTGTGAATAGAGCAGGGGTGTGGTCTAGTGTGGTATCGACCAATGGGATTACAGTCGACATGACGCGACCTGAACACCGACAGTGTGTGTGGGAGCTGGTTAGTATCACCTCATTTGAGCCAATTAGCTCAGGGGCCTCCCTGTGTAACGAATCTCTAACTTACGAAGAGGAAGAGGGGTTGAGTCTTGTCCCATACTCCCCGTCCTTCTCCCCTCTGTCTGGGTGTCTGAGTCAGCTGCTATGGGGCCCTCTCTCCCTCTCCTTCCCCACCTCCCCCTCCTCACTCCACACCCTCTCTTTCTGGTTGGCACGGCAACCGGGAGACAGTGGGTGTGGTCACCAGTCTCCGCTGGGGCTCCGTATCCAGGGACCAGACGATCTGGAGGAAGTGTTCTTGGTTCACACGCAGGACAAAGACAGCCTTCACAGGTGGTCCAGGTTCCAGGTCCAATTCACACCGACTGGTCTCGATTCCATTCTGACTCTGAGTCCCCTCTCATCTCAGTATGGTCTCCTGATTGATGACATCGCCGTGTCCCGATGCGATTCAGTCGTCTCCGCTCCATTCGATGATGTCATCAACAATAATTTGTCTGTGTTCCGAGTGGGTCAGGAGCATGTGTCTGGAGCGTGGACGAGATTCAGGGCAAGTTGGGAGCTGGGTGAGGAGGGGGAGGAGCGTGTGAGGGAGTACATGTGGGCCATTGGGACCACTGAAGGAGGCGAACAGCTGCAACCTTTCACCTCCACTGGTGAGTCCACCAGGGGAAGACCCCACTATTATAATGTGATCTCCTGGCAATCTTCACGTGCACGTACAACCCTTTACTGAACAGTTGCACTGCACCCTTCAGGCATTTGCAATGTGTGTGTTAATTGTTCCCTGTCTTCATTCCATTCCAGGCTCAACTCCATATGGAGTCAGTAGATACCTGTCCACATTCCATACCGAGGCAGTCTATCTGTCATTGGTGGCATGGAACCACGCCGGAGACGAGACTGTGGTGTACGGAGGACCTTACTCCGTTGACTTTACTCCACCAGAGTTGAGGGAAGGGGGTGGAGTGTTGGACGGGGTAGGCGGAGTAGATCTGGAGTATCAGAGCACGACAGATCTGCAATCTGATTGGTCGGATGTGGTGGACCCAGAGAGTGGGATTGAGGAATGTTCCTTCCTCATTGGTGAGCTCTCAGCAGGACACCATTACGAGAAGTTCAGCTGGCAGTCAATATAGTCCAGTCTGGCTTCCGCGTACCAGTTGTGTGAACTTGTATTAACATAACTGCCACAACAAGAGACACTGCCCACATGCAAGCATAACGCAAAATTCAAAACCCAAACCTACATGTACTTGCACATGCTGATGTTCTGGTAAGAGTGAACATGTGTGAACTTGTGTACCTTATTCTAGGAACAGCGGCAGGCAGATCAGATCTCCACCTCCACACTCCCACATCTGGCACCAATTCCTCCGTCACACTCCCTCCAGTCCCCCACGGCACTCTCGTCGTCACCACGGTAACCTGCAGGAATGGCGCCGGACTCCAATCAACGTTCTCCTCCAACGAGTAACAATACTCCAAACTCCGCCCACTAATCAATCTGCCTACCTTGCCGTGTCTAGCCCCTTCACTACGGAGTATGGGTCACATGACAGTCATGTGCCCTCCACCAATGTCACTCTGAGGTGGGGAGGTTTTGCGGAGCCAGCGGGGAACCCCCTTCATTACGAGGTGTGCCTGGGGGAGGGTGAGGAGGAGAGTTGTGTGATGGTGGGAGATGCCAGACAACTCATAGTTGACGGAGTGGGCGTGGCCTCTGAGGAAGAGATGGTTTCTGTGACGGCGGTAAATTTGGCAGGTCTTCGTTCCATTCCACTCAGGGGAAGAGTTGTGTTTCAGACCAGTCCTCCAAATGACACTGGTACGTTGAAAAATTTTGTTGTAGCTTTTCCTCAAAATCCAGTAATGTACCCCTTTTCAGGTGCTGCCATCAATATTACTTGGGTTGACGACACAACGCTGCATTTTGATTGGTCAGATAAGTTCACGTCGTCCTCACCACTGACCTTTGAACTGTCCCTCGGCACAATGATGGGGAGCGGGATCATCCAGAAGTGGGTGGAGCTTGAGACAGACCACACCCACCACACGGTGTCGGACGGTCGTCTAATTCGGTCGCAGGACTATTTCCTTGGTCTGGTGGCTGTGTCTAGATCAGGTCTCCACACGACTGCAGCAGTGATGGTGGATGGTGTGCCACTCAACATTTAGTTCCTTCATCTTGTATTCCCCCATTGATACATACATACATAGCTCCGGTGTTTTTATGTGCATAACAATTTATTGTACTCAACTCCATTAAAAATGAAAAGCACTAAAGTGCAAACCCTCGGCACACTATATAGAAATGTGGAACCCAAGTGTGGCACACCACAATTG